ATCGTCAGTTGTGATCTTTCTCAAGATGATCTCCAAATCTAGGGAGGGGCTATGCAATTTCAACTCTGGACGAGAGGTGAAGATCTTTTCCATAGGAGATCTGCACCTAGGACGTGGGATTGTCAGTTCAAAGAGCCCGAATGTTTCCAACAAGAATAATTAAAAAAAAAGTACTTTCTACATGCTTCGAATAGTTTTTAATGTTCTGATTTCAGTTCAAGTTCGCCCATAATATAATGTCGAATTATTCTACTGCCCAATTAGATCGTTATATACTCTGTAATTTTGTTGTTATTGCATGTCCTATGCAAAAGTTTCACTGTTTCAGTCTTAAATAAGTACTCCGTATATATATCAAGTTGTAAGTTTCTTCGATTAGAAATTACTTCAAATAGGACTAAAACTATGACAAAAACTCAAAATAGGACTTGCTATGTTTTTATTCCAAAATAGGACCATAGTGGTCCTATTGGAAACATACCCATTTCTTCCTTCCATTCTTACCCCTCCTTTAAATATTAGTAAAAGATAGCTAAAAGTCATAATTAAATGTTTAATTCATAATAAATCCGAAAAAATTTCAATAATTCGTAGAAAAATAATAAAAAAATTAATAAACTTTTTATAAAATAAAAATAAGGAAAAAAATTTTAATTTTTTTTTGAAAATTAATAAAAAATAGTAAAACTCCATAAAAAAAATTAAAAAAAATATGGATACCTTTCCCACCGCCTGTACTACCTCCCTGAACCACCACCTCCGATCGGTGTAAAAAGTGCCACTTTTTTTTAAATTCCACAAAAATGGCATATTTCTGGCATTTTCATTTTCATTCTGCCAACTTGAATCCTTTTGACTTTTGCCAAAAATATGGCATTCATAGTTTTTTTGGCATTTTTTTACCACGGTGACAGGAGTTGGTGGTACCGCCTCCCTGCACCACCACCTCCGACCGTTAAAAAAAATGTCATATTTCCTACAAACTTCCATTTTTTTCGGAAAATGCCAAAAATATGGCATATTTCTCTTTGACAATGCCAACATTTTTTTCTACCATCTTAAATCATTCTGAATTATGCCAAAAATATGGAATTCATAATAAATTTGGCATTTTTCCCCAAATGACTAGAGGTGGTGGTGCTGGGGCGGCAGAGGCGGCGGTGACAAAAAAAATTTGATTTTTTTTATTTTTTTTAATTTTTTTTATTTTTGTTTTTTTTTTAATTTATTATTATTCAAAATATTTTTATTAATTTTTTGGTATATTTTACGAATTTTTATTATTTTTTATTATTTTATTATGAATTAAAACATTCCAATAGGTATAAGGGTATATTTGTCCAAGACACACATAATTAGTCCTATGGAAACATAGTTTATTTTTTTTGTCCTATTTGTGCAAAGTGAATGACTTTTAGTCCTATTTTGATAATTAACTCTTATTCGATCTATTGACATATTTGAACCGGTTTAATTTGATAACATTTGAGAGCTCATTGATAATATTTGAGAGCTCGTTTGATAACCTATATTTTGAGTTTGTCATCACTCAATGTTTTGTTAAATATATAACTTTTGATTTCACACGTTAAATATAATTGAGTTATTATTAAAATAAAATTGGAGATACTTTTTGCGCTAATTAAATTGACTGGATATATTTTAAATATGTAGTATATATACTAGGTATATATAAAAATTAATATATATTGTTTCCATAAGTCAGCCGATTCAACCAATTCAGTCATTGTAGTCAAAACTTCATCAATTTCAGTACATTCGTCAGCCGATTCAACCAATTTTCAGTACTATATATCAAATGAGCTTTAAATTGTCTGAATCGGTTATATTTGCTAAAATTAGTGAAATTATGTTTGGAACGCATAAACAAATTGAATCTACTAATTTATGAAAATTATGTTGAAAATATACATTTTAATAAAATAAAGAAAAAATTATATAAAATTTTGCTAAAATAATTATGTTCATCAAATTCAACCATTCATCCAGAAAATTGACTCCAATGTTACTCATTACTTACTTTGATTATTATTCAATTAAAAAAAAATCAAAATAAAAAAAAAATATATAAAATTTTGCTAAAATAATTATGTTCATCAAATACAACATTCAAGCCTTAGTCCCAAAAGTTAAATATTTGATTAAAAAAAGTAAGGTTGATGACATAAAGATATTGGTTAACAAATGGACGGTTTGTTTGGTAGTACGAATTATTTTTCTTATTGTACTATATTAATATTGAACCGACTTCCATATTTTAGAATTATTAAAAGAAAATATCCTAAGTGAAGTTGCAGCCCATACTTTAGCTGCACCTTTGATGAACATTAAATATTTATTTGATTTATTTGATAATTAAGAACTGTTTCATCAATTATAACATTAAACTATTAGGATAATATTTTTTGAAGTTGTCCTAATATTTTTATTATATTCACTCATTAATTGATTAATTGGTGGTACCTATAGTTTGTCTTTACTATACACATACCTCAACCACACCTTTTTACATACCTCAACCACACTTTTTACTTTATTATTTGTATGCCCATCACCCAAAGATTTATCAATTATTTTTGGGAGATATTTTTCTTGAGAGGTTTCCACAAATAGGAACCAAACATTCGTAGTAGCATTTTTCTAAAAATAGGATGTAATGTTTAAAATTTTGTAAATAGAAATTATTATATATGATTGAACACACATGCGCACACATACACGCGCGCGCACACACACATATAGTTCGGAGCAATGCGACTAGCAAACCATTGACCGACGTTGTTGCTAAAGTTCTGTGCCGCTGTCGGAGTTTGCCGCCCGCCATCACCATCTTATCCTGCTATCAATGGGTTGACCTTGGTTAAACAAGGAAACTAGAGGGAAATTATTTATATAGAGCTCAAAGTAATGCGGTTAGCAGACCGTTGACCGTCGTTGCCGCTAAAGTTCTGTGCCGCTGCCAGAGTTTGCCTGCACCACGAGATTATGACGCTATCAATGGATTGACCTTGGTTAAGAAAAGATACTAAAGGGTAATTACTTATACTCGTTCTATGTAATTATTATTATATTATATTATTAGGTGTAACAATATAATGTTTAGTCTTGTTTAAAGAAAAATAAATTAATAATATATATTCCATTTTTGAAAGATGAATATGGATGTTTTTACTTGGACTGTAATTTGTCCCAGACCAGACAAGACCAGACCAGACTTGGATAGTTATAAAAATACAAAAAACTCAGATCATATCATACCAGACCAGACCAGCAAATTCAGTCCAAGTAAAAACATCTTATTCGTGTTTTAGTATTTGAGCAATTTTCTCATTATCTTTTTTTTTGTTGACATACATGAATATGAACAAGTGTAACGTGTCTGTACAAGCAAAAATTATATCCATGTACACCTTGATTGAAACCCTAGTCTATGTTCTGCATTGGGCCCATCAATCTTTTCATTTTTTTAGGTAAAAAGGTCTTGTCTGAACTGGATGTTTCCGATATGGTGTGGGATGCAACCCATATACAGATGGATCCATTGTTTTCGTTCAATAATTTATCACAGAATGTTTTGAATCTTTAATCTATAGATAGCTCTGTTCAAGTTGTCAAAGTGAGTACTCCTCTGTCCCTAATAAGTTTGCTAAGTTTGACCGGCACAAAGATTAATAAAGTAAAAATTGTGTGGTTGAGGTTTGTGCAGAGGAGAGAGAATTAACTGTAACCACAAATTTTTTACTTAAAATGGAAAGTGGCAAAGTTAATGGGACATCCAAAAAAGGAAAGTTGGCAAAGTTATAAGGTACGGGAGAGTATTAAGGAGTACTAGATTTGCCGCCCTATTAAATACTCCGTACGAAGTATTTTTATTACATAAAAAAACAGTGTTTCAAATGGTTGCCTGTATTTTAGAAAACTACGGAGTATATTCAATTTTCAACAAGACAACAACTACTGGTACAGTGGTACTTCGTATTAGTATTCCCTCCATCCTAAAAAACTTCTCAATTTTACTTGACACCTTTATTACAAAAATGAGAATAAAATGAAAATATATAATTGTCACACAAAACTTTTCAAAAAGAGAAATGAGGAGAATTTTTTGGAACATCCCAAAATGGTAAGTAGAAAGAATATTATGAGACGGAAGGAGTATTATTTAAGATTCAGTTTGGTTACACTGAATCGGTTCATTTTGTTGGAAAAATATATATTTAAAAGATACTACGTAATTAATTAATAAAATCAAACATAAAATATATGAAAAATAATACTACCTAATATGGTCATTTATAGTAACTTCAGCTAATTCAGCTAAAAAGTAACTTCAATCATACTTATTTTGATCATTACATAACTTACTGCGTGAAATCAAAATATAACTTACCAATTGTTATCATTGCAGCACACTTAAGAACTTTTGCATAAGAATATACTATATTTTGCGGCAAACATTCCCTCTCAATTAGCACTTGCATAAATTAGGAAAATCAGACAATGATTCCATAAATCATAGCTGGGACAGATCCCCTTAAGAAAATGGGGCATTTTTGATTGGGTCATTGTTAGTACACAAATTATACAATGCTTATGTACACAGAGTCACAATCAATTGACAGACAATTACCGATTTTTTAAATAAATTCCATGTATACACAGACAATAGAGCTATGTACTATTTTGTGTACAAATGTAATTTTCCTTTCCAATTACTAGAACTGAAAATCTGAAATTGGACCATGTCCACTGTCCCACCTCTTAGCTTTTTTGTTGAATATTTGTAAATTAACTACATTAAGGTAAATACGAGTAATGATTCTTTATACAACTCATACCAGTTGTAACACATAAACCCAAAAAGGTGACAACAAGCAGCCACCCAAACGGGGCCTTAGCTGAGCTCCTCATTTAATGGTTCCGTGTGACATGAGGGCCCCTTGAATTTCATGAGTATGACCTTTAATGATTCATCATTAGGCAGATAATAACAAAGATTAGCCATCTACCTTATAAGCATACTATATATAGCCTTTACATTTAAGAGAAGATGTACTTATTTTTCCTTTATATCACACTTGTACAACAATCACTAGACATTTCCAAGATCTAAGGAGGCACTACCCTTTGGTAATGAACCTCTTTAATACTCACTAACAGAAACAATTATTATTAGAAGAAGATAATAACTATGATCAAGCATAATAGTAATCAAATCATATACACACTTAATAAGATGTGTGTGTATCCTTCAGCCTTTTCTTGTGTGAAAAGAATGAACATAAGGTGATGCTTGAGAAACCATTTTTGTAGTATTGCCCAGTTGGCCACTAGACTTTGTGCTGAAAGAAGTGTTCCTTCCTTGTTTATTATTATAATGCTTTCTTGTTGGTTGTGATGACCTTGGGATGAACACTCCTGTGCCTTTGCTGCTGCTAATAATTTCTCTTCTGCAGATTTGCTCTTGAAGATACACAGATGGGGATGGTAGTCTTACTGGGTAATGTGCCCTTGGAAATGTCTGAAACTGGAGCATTTTTAACAAAACATTAAACATATTTTTCCTATAAATATATTTATGAATGTTTACTCTGCATATTATTATGGAAAATGCAAACCTGGAAAGAATAGGAAGGGCATGCAGCAAAGACTGGTTCTACATCACAATCGTCTTCCATTATCAGCAAGGATATTTGCTTGCTTATGTCTGCAAAAAACAGGTCATCGTCTAGCTCAACTGATACTTCCATTTCTTCAACCTCAAATTAAACACAGGTTCTAAGAGTTTATTGATTGTTTGGAAACAAAAACAGTAATAGTAAGAATAAGGAATTGTTTGATTTTCTATTCGCTTCTTTTTCTCTAGTGCCATGGGGATGAAATTTAAAGGGATATAAATAGAGAAAAGAAAAAGAGAGGATGAGGTAGTGAGTTAGAGAGGGAGGGGTGAGATTAGGTAGGGGGAAAGTGCATGTGGGAAGGTGGGACCTAATGGCAGTTAAGGCCAATCTGGCTAAAAGTCCCTACAAGAATCAAGAAGCTGTGTTATAATGTTATCCAGTAGGAATATTTTAAGAAGATAGAAGAACCAGAACAAGAACAAGAACAGCAGGAGCAATAGCCCACACCCAGATATCCAATCCAGATCTGCTGTAACATGCATGCTTGGTTGTAATTTGTTTAGGCCTCATTTCTTATCCTTTTACATATTTCTCTCCAGGCAATAAGGTATGGCTCAAAAATCAATCTCCACATTATCTTATAACATAAGAGTTTTTTCCACTTTTACTCCTCTAAGGTATGACACTACCACAACAATAATTAGATAAATAAAAATGAAAAAAAAAAATCAAAGAAAAGTACTCAAAGATTTATTCATCACAACAGTTATAAGTGAACAAATTGAAAGACTTGGTGCCAACAATGCCATTGCCACTATAATAATAGGGCTAAAAACGATAAAGAAATACAAAAGCTGCAAAGAACTAAAATATTTGATTCTTTAATAATTAGTTAATTAGTACATGCCTTGGTACACCCTGCCTTTTAACTAACCAAGTTTATGGCACATAATATGGCTGCACCCTGATTCTTTGGTACAATGAATTCAATGACATACAGCTCGGGGTAATGACTAATGAGATCATATGCAATGAATCAGAGTAGAAGAACCCACAAAACTACATCCTTCCGAGTTCAACTCCTCCATCTTCATCATACTAAGGAAACAATCATTATTTGCTGCTTCAAAGTTCTTTAGAAAACCGAGCTCTATTCTTCTGGAAAACCTTCATATATCTGAAAGGTGCATTTATCTATTTATTACTAACAGGGTTGATTAGAGAATCAGATACTAAATTGAAATAAAGAGAAAAAAACGATTACCCTGCAGTTCTGTGGCTTTGGGCTATATCCATTGCTGAAAATTTGTTAAATAAATCATCAGATGAAGCAGCCTCTGCAATTGCTTTTGCCAAGTTGCTGTCATTGCAGGAATCGTAGTAGCACCCCCTGACCTTAGAATCTACCACCAGGTCCCTCCAAACAGAACCACTATTGATCAAGGTCCAGCTATTCCCCAAGACCCATAGACAATATCTACATAAATAACATAATGCCAAATACAGGAAGCACTGTAAGACCCATTATATTTTGATGTAGGACTATCTAACTCATAAATAACATAGAATATTAACAATGTGCAACATACCTTGCTCGAGTTAGAGCAACATTGGTGCGCTGAAAGTTGGACAAGAAGCCAACTGATCCACTCCCATTGGACCGCACAGTGGAGATGATGATAACATCTTCTTCTCCCCCTTGAAAGCCATCAACCGATCTCACGTTAACAGAGAACTGACTGTCAATGTCTGTGCTGTACTTCTTCCCAAGTTTTTGCTGGATGGCAAACACCTGCGCCTTGTACGGTGATATGCACCCTACGCGAACTCTTTGTTTTGAAAGCAAGCATTCTACCATCACCAATGAACCAGAAAACTACCTTGTTTTTAAGACAAGAAACGACAATTGAAAATGGCATTCATATTAAAAAGGAAGAGTAAAAAACCTCTGTGGAGCATAGCAACAATCTCAGCTACTGCAAAAACTTCAGCCTTGTTTTTACTGCTACAGCTGTTGTCACGATCTTCACTTCCTCCTCTTATGTCAATGAAAGAAAAGGGTCCAAACATCTCTCCTTGAAGAAACCGTTTCTCATATCCTTCCTTTGTTACATTAGGACCATTCATCACCTTTTTCTCATAAAACTGCTTGTTTGGGAATAAACTAATAGAGGGATGCATTCGGTATTGAACATTGAGGAGATGTTTTGTGTGTCCTAATTTAACGAGCCTCTCAAACAAGCTCCTGCCGAATGCAGCCTTCTCACAAATCTTACTCTGAACCATAGCTGGCAGTTGCTTCTCATCTCCAATTAGTATAGCCTGTTGCAGACCATATAGCTGCAAGGGGATAGTGGACTCACATTCCTTAAGCTGAGCTGCTTCATCAACTAGCAACAGTTCTATTGGTCCCATCCATTCTGTGTGCAATGTGTATGAGCTTGAGGCAGTACAGAATATCAAAGTTGCATGTTTCAGAATAAATTCCCGAATTTTATGTGTTTCAGAGTCTTCAGACAAATCATCTGGTAGAGTAATGCAGGTACGAAGAGATTCTAGCAGCGCAATACATTCTGGTTTTGTTTTCTGCAAATAATCATATTCATCCTTCCACTTGAAAATACAAGAAGAAGAAGCTTCATTCCCCTTAAGGCCTTCACTAAGTCCTCCATGGCTCTCTGCAGACATCAACAATCCTCCAAGAGTTTGAAGGGAACCAAGTGCCCCTGACAACTTCTTTAGTGCTTCCAAAGAGATGTATGAAGTGGGCAAATGAGTGCAAAAGGTCTCCACACAACACTGAAATCGCTCAGTCAAGGATTTATACCTTTTCATAAAGAATTCCTCAAAGGTACAAACCTTTACCCCCTGCTTGGTCTTAGCTACATTGTCATAACAAATTCCTGAAGCTTTTTTCTTGCAAGAAAAAGGTTCGTCTCTTGCCTTTTTCTTCTTGCCTTTCTTCACCATCTGAACAATAAACTTTTTCAAACCCTTGTTTGTATTTGTTTTCTTCAAGTCCTTGTTTTTCATCTCTCCAGTTTCTTTTTCCTCCAACTGGGGCTCCTCATCATCATCATTACTACCCCCTTGTTTCAAGTGCTCTGTATAGGTCACTTCAGGTTTTTGCAGCAATTTGATCATCTCAATCAGAACAGATTGCCACCGATGACGTAACACCCATTTCTTAATCGCAGCAACACGATAAGACAGAAACACATCCCACAGGTCCTCGTGATCTTCGATCTTCATCCTCTCCCCATTACCAAACACGACGATGTCTCCCAAACCATAACTATCACATTCGAGACCAGCTTCCCTTACTAGTTCCATTAGCCGCTTTGCAACTCCTAAAACAGCAATGTTTGTTGGGGCACAAGTCAAAGTTGTGCATTTCATATTGTAGAGGACAGATAATAAGGATGCAACCGTCTTGGTTTTCCCAGTCCCAGGTGGACCCCATATTAGCTTCACTGACTTTCGGTGCTTGCATTGCCTGGCTTTTACACATCTCAATATAGCTTCTTCCTGAGAACTGTCCAACCCGAATAACTTCACAGCAGTCTTAGCTTTCAATGTTAAAGTATCATCATCATCATCATCAATACCATTACCAAAGCAAAGAGAACAATTTCCTTCATCCTGATCAACATGTTTTCACAACACTCATTTATTAGAGATTGGGCGAGTTTGGGAGTTAGGTATTGGAGGGTTTTGGACGGTCAGTGTATATATCTTTACATGTATTTGAGGTTCTACAAAAAATGGAGGAATAGCATAATTCATTATAAAACAAAATTTTGAATCAACTTTTTTCTTTAGAAAATAGTGCATTTAACCTTCCCCTCCAAAACCCTCCATCCAAACAGACCAGTAGAGTTTCGATCATAAGGAGATTGAGCTTTAGGTGTTGCAACTTGCAACAACAAGCTACAAACCAGAAAACAACAATATAGAAATAGCCTAGCTTAGTAGGATAAGATAGAAATAACTTGCATTTGGAGGACGGCTACTGTGCAGAACTGTCCTAATAATCTGGAAGTTTGGGAGCATCACCTTCGGAGTCCTCCCCTCCCCCTTCAGAGACATCCATATCCGAATGTTTGTTGTCAGATTAGTGAGATAAACAATAAAAAGAGTATTTCCCTTTTCCCTATCCTCAGCTAACCTTTCGAGGAAGCTAAGGGGCTTGGATGGCAGGATGGGGAACAAATCAGTTTCTTCTTCCTCATCCTCTTCTTCCTCCTGTCCTTGAACTACAGCTAAGAAATAAGGTATCTTTGGTCTGTTAAGATCCTCAATGCGATTCGGCCTGATATCAGAGAAAGCGATTAGGTCTCCGGATTGTGGTTTATACGGCAATATCCACTTACCATGATCCTTAACTCTCTTCAACAGAATCGTGATCGAAGATTTCGGGTCTTTCGGCTGATCAAGATCCTTGCTTGGCAATGGCACTAGCAGCTCTTCGACCTCACAAGCGGGAGCATTCCGGAGTGAGTTGGTCAGGCTTGAGTACAGATCAGCATGCGTTTCTTCCACAAGAGGATCCACGAACAACTTCATGTATTCATTTGTGCGCAGAAAGGTTTCTGGAATTTCTTTCACCTGAAAAAATATACTCAGTTAGTCAGTATGAATTCCTTGTACACGGGAAAATGTAACGGCAACAGAATTGACCCGCGCAGGCGCGCGCAATATAATACTCCGTGTCTCCGTATACGCAAGCAAAATGTTTTTTGTGCAAAGCCATTAACGCATTTTGTCTATATCAAAGTTGTATGTTCACACAACTATTGTGAAGAGAGTGAGTCTGACTCTTAAAACTGTTTCTGCTCTTTCAAGAAACAGAAGCAAAAGTTATAGTGTTTGGGTGAAAGTGCATTAGTGATTATGGTGCTCTAATTTACACTTCTAGAATTAGTTTTTTAGAAGTTGGGGGACCAACTTCTTAAAATTCTGATTCTATTTCTATTTTTTTTAAAAAGCAGAAGCAAAAGCAGTTCCAAACATCTCCATAGATGTTATTTGTATACAAGATCAAACTAGATTAAGAAGTTGTTCTTTTCTGAGTGTTTTTTATCTGAATTTTTAAGATTTGATCTGATCTAAATTTTCATGATCTAATCTGATCTAAATTTTTCTGATCTGATCTGAAATGAATCTCTCTTATATGATCTGAATCTTATGATCTAATATGAATCTTATGATCTAATCTGAATCTTTCTAATCTGATATGATCTGAATCTTTATGATCCGATCTAATCTCAATAAAATAAGAATACACAATAAGTGATAAGAATAAGACTGAATACCAAAAACTGGAGTGTCCCCTTTGTTGACCAGATTGATCAAGATTCGGGATGAATTGTTCAAAGTGATGGGTGGGCAAACTGAAATGATCAATAGACTTTATTCTTTTTGTGATAATGGAAAGATCAACGCTGGTAAGGTGTATGACATCTTAAGAACCAAAGCTCATAGCAAACCTTGGATAAATATGATTCGGAAGAAATATATCCCTCCTAAATTATGTTCTCGTTTATTGTATGGCTTGGGTTAGGAAATAGGTTGCCGACTTGTGACAACCTGATGTACATGGATATAGAGAGAAGGTGTTGTTTCTGCAAATTACAGATAGATTGAGTGGAACATCTCTTCTTTAAGTGTCCATTCACTAAAGATGTGTGGCAAAGAGTTGGAATTTGGCTGAGATTCAAAAGCAATACTACCACTTTACTCAGCACGGTTAAAATGTGCATCAAGCTTTATGGAGGTGCAAGGATCATGAGTAAGGCAGTCCGATTATCTCTTTGTTGTACTGTTTATACTGTGTGGAAGGCTAGAAACGAGACTATTTTTGCACACAAAGAGGTTAGTGTGGAGAGTGTATACTTGTAGATCAAAATTTTGGTGTACAAGGTGCTTTTCAAGCTATATCCTGTTTCTCTTATTGATTTTTGAAGATGTTGCACTATGCTATATCTTGGTTAAATAAGTTTGAATGATTTATTTAAGTGTGATATGCATTAATGCACCTAGTGATCTTTGTACTTCTGATTTAACGTGTTTATGATGAAAATAGTTAAGCAGCAGGGGTATGCCCCTGACGATGATGTAATAAATTGTTATCTCAGTTAATATATTTTTACTATTCTTCAAAAAGAATAAGACGAATAGAACAACGTAACTTCTAATTTGAACTAGATTTAAAAAAAAATAAACCAGACAAACCACACTTTGACAACTGTGTAAAATACACAATAACTATACATCTATCTAACCAAACTTAAATTGATCAAATCATATCAAAAAAATTCAGTCCAAGTAAAAACATACTACTAAACGGTACCTTTTTTAGAAAAGCGTTTATCCAAAATAAACATGCTTCAATAAAGCATATTGACTTATTGAGTATAGTACTGTAATAGTATAAAAACTACGTAGTACATTTTACAAAGTCTAGGTACACCTACATAATATTTTTAACTATGTGAAAAATCTGTACCAATTGATTTGAAACAATTTCTGAACTAAGAAAAATATATAAGGGTGAAATATATAACATGGAGTATTTATTTTCTAAATTAGGAAAAACTACTTCTTCATTGAAATTTACGAAAAATAATATCGGTTCTGATTTATTGTGTTAATTACATAGAGTACAAAAAAAATAGATCAAAATAAGATATCAAATAGTTCAGAAGTTAAAGTGTTACGACTAATGAAAATGGAGAAATATATATCTTCGTGACTATATATGAAATGACGGATCTACTAAAAAAAATTCAAAACTCTATAATTGTATCTTTGTATTTATTTGTATTTTTTGAAAACATCTTTGTCTTTATTTTTTTGATGAATAAATACTTCTCCATAAAGAAAACCCATATAGCTAAAAAGTTAGGGTCTTAGGGAGGATACATAAGAAGTACGTAGTACGGAGTATCTTTTTACTAAGAACTTTAAGTTTCTACTTTCTCAAAATCATGTTTCTTAATTTTTCTACATTACCAAATTTATTACGAAGTATTGAGGATTTGTCATTGAATACCATTTTTCAAAGGTATATAATTGAAGGCAAACACTTTTCATATACTGACATACCCCTACTCATCTTTTCCATTGATATGTTATATATATGTATAAATGTATGTGTGTTATACTCCGTATCAATGTTGGTTTAAATAGGAATTAAACATGTTTAGCACATTGTATATGTTATTAGCCTAAGCCTATTTGAATTATCGGCAATGTTTTAACTTGTTCATAAATTAATCGATGTGGGGTTTTACTTTTAAAATTTATTGGATTTTTTTAATGAAATTTTTTATTTGAATTAGTCCTACTAAATAACTAAATACAGAGTAAAATTTATTAATCCAGTGTTCATGTGAGCATTATCAGATTGATTATAAACATAGTGTGATAGGCATGACATGTAAGGAGTGCATTCAACTATATCACCTAATTTCATTATAAAGCTTAAGTTTTGAAAACATACCGATTAATTACATCGATAGTATATAAGCTCTTTTACTAAGATTAAGCAAATCTATTTATATATAATGTTTAGAATTATATATGGATATTATATTTTGTTATTATAAAGTATTTCGTTTCTAAGTTTAAGTTGTGGATTTTTTTTACTTATGTTTGAAATTTAAGCATGTTTTTCAACAAGATCAGTATAATAACACTATGATATGCATACTAATAATGAGATTTTGAGTGGAACACAAACCTTTTCTCTATATAAATTTCTATTCATGACGTCTTCTAAGGACCAAGAAAACACAGCGTTAATCAAGCCTTCTCCCTGGACTCTCTTTTCTTCTCTGCTCATATTTGCAATACACCAAATGAATATCTTCAATGAATCAATAGTTTCTTCTTTTTACCAGATGAATCTCTTTTGAGTTTTGATCATAGCTCAGCACCAAATATTTGCACGAAGATATAGAGTCCCGGAAGAGAGTCCCTTCAGTTTCCACTGTGTTTCTTTCTGGGAAACAGGGATATTCTTCTCCATTAAGAAAGGGAAAACAAAAGTACATGGCAAATTCCGTATTAAAAAAACATCTGTTGTGTGGTAATTAACGAGTTATATTCAAGTAGACATTTGATAATTCCAATAAAAAGAATCTTTATATATATAAAGATCCTATGGTGGGATTTCAGGTGGGATCTATTTGGAGCCAAAACATGTGAAAAATTGTTGTCTCAATTAAATATCTATCTTAATACTTCATCAATGCACTTTCAGTTACGAAAACATGCATAATACTAGCTAATTCCTATTTTAACTTCAATAATACGTAGTATTTGCTAAAGTAGTAGTTGGGTAATACTAAAACTAATTGAGTACTCCGTATAATAATAATTAGTGGAATACTTTTTTTGAAGATTTTTTTTTTGAGAGGATTTTTTTTTGAGAGGTTTTTTTTAAGATTTAAAAAATGTTTTCAAATGTTTTTGTTTAAAAAAACACTTTTTGAAATTATTTTGGAAAAAGTGATTAGTAGTAAAAGTTAGTAGCACTTGAGAGAAAAAATGTTTTCGAAGAGTAAAAGGTGGCAGTGTTTGGTAAAATATGCGCTTTTTGTGTAGTAGTAAAAGTAAAGAGCAGTTTTAAGCCAAAAGTCGAGAAACGTTTATTTAAGTAGAAGTCATTCGGAAACACTAATTTTAGCCTTTTAAGCCAAAAGTCGACAATCGCTTTTTTAAGTATATGCAAACACTCTCTTAGGGGTTAGTCAATTAGCCGGATAGAAATGTTTTTATTTGAATTTTTAATATTTCATATGATCTTATTTTTTTGAGTTGATCAGAAACTTTTTTTATATCTAATTTGAATCTTTTTTATTTGATCTGAATCAATCTCACTCAGATCTAAATATTGCTAATGTAATTAAATGTTTATTATTGATGTGGTTATTTTTGTTATTATCATCACTATTATTGTGATTAAATTTATAACTATAATTATAGTTATAACTATAACTATACATCTAAATCTTTCTCATGTGAACTTAATTTTTCCGATTTCATCTAACTTGAATTGTCCCTTATTTGATCTGGTCTGAATAAAATAAAAATAAACATTAAGCAATAAGAATAAGGTAAAGTAATTAAAATACCTCAAACTTTAAAAGGAGTGTGAATTAAGCACCCCAAACTTGCATATATAATTTAAATACCCCAACTTTTATGTAAAAAGTTCTTTTAGCACCAGTCATGTATTATTTCTTTCAAAATTGTTAATTTTTTGTGTAAGTTTCACAATTTAAAATATTTTAGCATTCTAAAAAATACAATTAACATTCTCAACTTTCATTGCAAAATAAATAATAATGCCCCCACTAGAGTGAACAATTGCAACATTTTTAATTTGTTATTTTAAATTATGCAATTAACACCATAAATAACATTTTTGAAAGGAATAATATAGGATCGGACCATATTGCCTAAATAAATTTTACATAAAATTTGGGGTATTTAAATTACATATGAAAGTTTGGAGTGTTTATCTCACGCTTCTTTAGAGTTTAGGTATTTTGATTATTTTTCTCATAAAAATATGACGAACACAACAACTTCTCAGTGACAGTTAGTAACTACAAATTAGAAAAGTCACGTTCATAAATTAAAAATCATAAAACTTACACTTACTCTGTCTCATGAAACTTTGCTAACATTCGTTATTTTTGTTATCTCAAAAACATATAATCCCTTTGTCTCAGAAAAAATTATACGAAATATGAGAAAAAACTAAAATGGTTGATAAGTTTGATAAACCGTAAACATATATGGAGCACCAAAAGGTTCCTAGATTTCCCGTGCAACGCACGGGTTTATCGTCTAGTAGATGTAGTTTAACAAAAGTACTTGTAATTGTTATTGATAAGAGGAATTGAGGAAATCTTGTACTAAGTAATATACTACGACACTTAGTTCATTTTAAATCTGGTTTGGAGCGTGTTTGGTAATCATGTTTTTTCGCCTCATCATCGAGCTTATCAGACAACTTTTTCAGCAAACACGTAACTTTTGATTTCGCGGGAAAAAGTAAGATTGGAATTACTTTTCTGACTGTATTGGCTGATCATTATGTCTATTTGTTCATATAATTTTTTCATTATTTTGTTAATAAAAATATTTTAAATATAATTTTTTCATAAATTAGCAGAATGGTCCAATCCGGCCACTTTAGCCAGAACTTCATAAATTTAAGCAGGATAAGTTGATTCAGTCAATTTCAGTGTTACCAAACAGTCTCTTAATCTAGTTTCTAATTGAAACTAGTAAAAGTGAAAATCTTATTTTATTTTATGATGATAAATTAATGATAGTTTTCTATGATTTACAATACTTTAACTAGTACTCCGTATTAATTATCAAAATATATATTTCTAAGATATATACACTTGAAATTATGTACATCGCAAGAATTGAAATTTTAACAGAGAATTGAAAATGGTAGAATAGAGCCCGTTTGGTAATACTAAATGACTGTATTTGCTGAAATGATGAAATTATGATTGAAGTTATGAATTTTAAAGCTGTTCTAGACAAAATGTTTAAAATTAGAAGCTGGTAAAGTTTAAAAAATGTTATTGAAAAAGTAAAAATGGGCAATGTCTAATTATATACGGAGTATATAATATTTTCTATATATAATATTGTGTCAAACCATTTAAAGTATCTCACCCACCTTTTAAGTGATTTTAAGAATAAATTTTGTTTAAAACACACATTTATGCTCTTTTAAATCAAAAGTAGAAAAGTAATTTTTGAAGTTTTTGTAAGAACTCCCTAATGTACTGACTATCCGTCGGTTCGGTTTTGGTTTTAGAAAAGGTGAACAGTAAACTGAATCGCACCACTTGAATCGATTTGTGTTCGATTAATTTTGGTCGATTTTTGTTGATTTCCATTGGTTTTACCACATTTTAATCAGTTTTTGCCGGTCTATTTTAAACCCAATAGATCAAACCGTAAACCGAACAGCTCTTTGAGAGAGTTTCAGAGGCCGTTTGCTAACACTATTTTTCGGTTGATCAGGCTTATCAGCCAACTTTTTCACCAAACACGTAACTTTTGCTTTTATGCGCTGAATTGTGTAGTAAACAGAAAAGGTAAGGTTGAACTAGCCGTATTGGCTGAATTTACTGTAGATGACCATTTTAGTTATTTTACATATAATTTTTTCTTTATTTTACTAATAAAATATATTTTGAAAATATTTTTTCCTTAAATTAGCAAAATTAGTTACTTCAACCAGATTTCAAATATTTTTGATAGCTCGGTTTCGATCAATTTGTCATGTTTTTTTGTTCACCCCTGCTCTTTGTATGCAGTTATCCAACTGTTCGCAGTTACATTCACTTTTCTGCTCAACTTTAGGTTTCCTCCTTCGAAACAAAAATGCCGCCATTAATCTCTCTGCAACTCCGACGGCAGCTTCTTCACCACATCTCTTCTCCGTCTCCTCTCAACCCCCATTGCACATCTACACACCCCCATAGATTACCGTTCACACATTCTAACTCCTTCACAACCCAAACCGCAGATTCGATTGCTCAATCTCTTTCCAGCAATTCAGACCCTCTGAATATTACCCAAAGACTCAAGCTTCACTTCTCTCACATCAAACCCACCCCGCTGTTAATCACCCAAACTCTGAATATCTCCCCGGATGCCGGCCATTCTGTTTTAGGGTTTAACGATTGGGTTATCTCCCACCCCGATTTCAAACACTCGGATGAAACGCTCTCGCGCTTCGTCCATTATTTCGGTCGAAGAAAAGATTTCAAAACTGCTCATGATTTGCTGGTTAGTGGTAACATATATGTCGCCGGCCCTAAAACTCTCCACTCCTCCATTGATAGGCTGGTTCATGCTGGTAGGCCCACTAAAGCTCTGGGTTTTTTCGAGAGAATGGAGAAGGAGTATGGGTTCAAAAGAGACCAGGAGTCGCTGAGATTGGTTGTGCAGAAGTTGTGCGAAAATGGGTATGCTAGCTACGCGGAGAAAATGGTGAAAGACTCGGCCAATGAGATATTCCCTGACGAAGCAATATGTGATCTGTTAATCAATGGTTGGTGTGTTGATGGAAAGATCGATGAAGCCAGAAGATTGGCTGGGGAAATGTACAGGGGGGCTTTGAGATTAGCACAATGGCCTATAATGCAATGCTTGATTGTGTTTGTAAGCTTTGTAGGAAAAAAGATCCATTCCGGCTTTAGTTTGAAGCTGAAAAGGTGTTGCTCGATATGGAAACTCATGGGGTCCCAAGGAATGTGGAGACTTTTAATGTGTTGATGAATAATCTTTGCAAGATTAGGAAAACAGAGGAAGCACTTGGTCTGTTTCATATGATGGGGCAATGGGGGTGCAATCCTGATTCAGAGAGTCATTTGATTTTAATCCGAAGCTTGTATCAGGCAGCTCGAGTCGAGGAAGGGGATGAGATGATGGATAGGATGAAGTCTGCTGGGTTTGGTGAAAAGCTTGATAAGAAGGAATATTTTGGCCTTTTGAAGATATTGTGTGGGATTGAGAGGGTTGACCATGCTATGACTGTTTTTGAGAAGATGAAAGCCGCAGGTGATGGGCGTAAGCCCGGGGTAAAGACTTATGATTTGTTAATGAGGAAATGGTGTGCTCATAATCGCCTTTCTAGAGCCAATGCTCTTTACAATGAAGCCTTGATAAATGGGGTCCCCGTGGAATCTAAGTCGTCTTTTATGGTAGATCCAAGATATGCAAAGAAAACCGAAGTTGTGAAGGAGAAGAAGAGGGAGGGTTTGCCTAAGAAAATGGCCAGGAAGGGCAGACGTCTTAAGCAAATTCGACTGAGTTTTGTAAAGAAGAGTCAGGGGCCGAGACGCTTCGCCTAAACTTGCCTTACTGAGATTTTAAGTGGAATGACACTTCCCATTGGTGGTAAGAAATGTTGTGTTTTGTAAAAGATCTAGTGAAGTAGTGATGCTCCGGAAATATGGCTTACCAAATGGGCACTAGGTCTATAGCCCTTAAATGTGCCTATACATTGCAATGTTTTTATTTTTTAAGCATATGAGATTGCAGTTTTTTTAAAGTATAATCTCTCTCTAAATAGTCTATATCTTTAGTTTGTATCAATAAACTGGCAGAGAGATGCTGGAAAGTGATCAAACTGGAAGACTTTTGAAGTTGTTTGCACTCAAAAAAAGTGAATAATTTTGATATGTTTGAAGAAAAGGAAGCCTTATGTTTTGAGTTAAAATTATCCAAAAACTTTTGATAATTTGGAATGGGTCATTTTGATCTTGGCACATACATTCTTGTTTATTATAAGGCCTAATTTATCATATAGGAGAATGATGATGATCTGTTGATAGGGACATGGACAGCTAATTTTAATAAGAATAATAGAGTATTATTAAATAGAGTGTTATTGTATAAATAAATGTTTTGGGCCAAGTAATTCATGAAATATGGGCCAGCCCTTAGGAAGAGAATTGATATAAAAGGGGGAAAGGAGGGAGGAAGAAGGCAGGCAGAACTTGGGATTGGACTGGGACTTGGGAGAGACGAGGCACTCTAGAATTTGCTCTCACTTGTACGTTCTGTTCAATTTCAACAATTTCAGTTTTAGTATTCCACAATTCATCGCCAGATTTCCGTGTACCTAACATTGGTATCAGAGAATTCGTTCCTGTAGCCTATCAACGTCGATATACGCAGAGCGATGGAAGGAAGATTGGAGAAATTGGAGAGCGAGTTGGCGAGGCGGACTGCAAACATGGAGCGCGAGTTGGCGAGGTGCTCCGCAGACATGGAGCGCGAAAGTGAGGAGGCCAAACGCAAGTGCAATGAGATACGCGAGTTGATTATGAAGAAGCTTGATCGCCACTCTCGCGGTCGATCAAAAATCTCCAAAACAAGTGCGCGGAATGGTAGTTGCGACTCCAGGTCATCTGTTTCTTCTCAGTCTTCTCAATCGGGAACTCGTTCTTCGCGGAAGACAACTGCTACCAGTTCGTCATCTTCACCTCGAACAGAGTTCTCCAGTTCGCTATCTCTAGCGGCTAGTCACCAGTCATCATCGCGAACAGATCTTTCTCGTTCGCAGGTTTCATCTCATATGTCCGCTTCTCACAGTGCGCAAGTTGAGTCAGCGTCGATCCCTCAGCCGTGTGTGAATCAGCAACAACTTCCCTGCAAAGGTGCGTTCATCGATGGTAATGAGGGAGGTGACGAGAAAACTTCTGTGGGAACTCAATCCTCTACTGCCTGGGCATATGAGTCTGACAAAATTGCTGGTTCTGAATTGGAGAACCAAGTGGTTTCTGACTTAAAATTGCTGATGACAAAATATGAGTCTGTTAACCTGCAGCAACCTTTCTCTGATGATAGAAGTGCTCCTCAATTTGGAGAAAATGCAGAGAAGTTCACTAAAGGCTATAATGAAAATGAGGAGAAATTGTCAGTGGTCGCTGGACCTGAAATTGGTGCAACTGCAGTTCCTGTTTCTCTTGGATGCCCCACTTCTGATGCTTCTGAAGGTTATATGGAATTCTTCAACTCGGTTTGTGGTAGAGTTCTGCCAGTCACTTCTCAAAATGTTAGTAATCTTAAAGCTTCACAAGGGCCTGGTCAAAATCTTTACCACAGTGTTGAGAATAGGCTACAGCCAAACACAGAGGGTGCAGATGTGCAAAATATGAGGCTGATTGGAGGTTGTTTGAACTGGTCTCTGCCAGACTATTCGGAAGGCCACAAACCTGTTATTCTGTTGTGTTGTTCGGCTAATGTCTATGGTGGGAGTGACATTGGATTTGAAGAAGTTTTAAGGATACCTAAACTTGATTGGTCATATGGGCTTACAAAATCGAAAGGCATTGATAAAGTAGAGCCAGTAGACCTTAAACTTTCTGGATTATTTGGAGATATTATTACTATACCAATTGTTTGTGATATGAAGAGCAGTAAACTCAATTCCTTTTTCATACTGACAAACCCCAGAGAGTTGCAATTTTATGAGAACATTTGCTTGTCTACTTTGAAATGGGAGCAAGAGACCCATCATGAGGCTGACATCACTCCTTATCCAGTAGAAATAACCGCTCACAACTCATACATGACTGTGGCAAAGTCAAGTTTTCTGAATTGGAAATGTAACTACCCTGGCAGTTTCTCAAAGGCTAAGATTGGATGGGAATCGAGGTGGCCTCTAATTGAGAGAAAATACCTAGCAGGATATCAGGATGGATATGTCCGAATCTGGGATGTCATGTGCCCAGTGTTGGCACTTATGATGACTCTCTCATCTGAGGTGAAGGGCCTGGAGAGCATTATTAGGAGTGCAGCAATGACAGCCCTTGACTCTGCAACTAATTTTTTGAGTGTACCTAATGGGAAAGAATCTGGCCAATTTCACTATTACAGGCGTGGCACCAGCTCTGGCCCCGAGAAAACAAGGCTGCATTTGATCAATAAACCCAACAATGAAGTCTTTTTCCCAAGTGGTTCTGGGTATCAATTTGCAGCTCTCTTTTCACTTGTCAATTCCCCAGTATGCATCTGGCAGTACATGGCATCAGGATCCAAACTGATTGTGAAGTTTAAAAGCCGACAAGCAAATTCGGGTTTTCATGAAAGCACTGTGAACCCGGAGGGTGGAACCTCATATGAAACTGGGGAAGTACCTACTATGTTCGTGACCAGAGATGGTCACATTATTTCAATGGATATCAGCACAGACAGTATGATCAAGTCTCAGCCAATGCATCCAGAGAAGGGCACAGTTCTTTCGGTATTTTCAAAGGCGTTGACTGCACTTCTAAAGCTGTGGAGCTCTGAACATCCACCTAGTGAGTATGTAGTTGGAGATGTGCAACCCATGAGCTACCATATTGGACTTTTCTATTTTTCTTATCAAATCTGGGATCAAATTTCCTTTCATTTGCTCAACTCCTCTCAGCTAATCATGCCCCTCAAACTTTTCAAGGTGGGAATGAGGCAGCATGGTCTTCGTCCTTACCTTTGGCGAAAAGCAGTGTTTTGGGTGAACTCATACTTGAATTATTTCTTCATGTGTTGAAATGTAGTGGCCAAGCTGAAATTTTTGGAACCCGGGGTTCAGATTCTGATATTCCTAAGAACCCCTGGACACACATAATGCGGGTTGAAATCTATAGGGAAGAGACGCCGTTGTTGGGAGATTCAAACTTTTGCAACATAAGGGGGCAGTCTGCCAACAGGAATTTATTTCTGCTCTTTTTTGAAGTGAAGAACATGAGCATGCAGCTTCAAGTACTGAAGTTAAAGGTCCAGAAATGTGGGATGTATTGGGAAGGAAGAGGAGCCAGAATGAAGATGAAGTTGAAGGTCAAGGCTGTCTCCTATCACCCACCTTGAGGACAAGGTGGTTGTTCAAGGGCGGAGATATGATAGGGACATGGACAGCTAATTTTAATAAGAATAATAGAGTATTATTAAATAGAGTGTTATTGTATAAATAAATGTTTTGGGCCAAGTAATTCATGAAATATGGGCCAGCCCTTAGGAAGAGAATTGATATAAAAGGGGGAAAGGAGGGAGGAAGAAGGCAGGCAGAACTTGGGATTGGACTGGGACTTGGGAGAGACGAGGCACTCTAGAATTTGCTCTCACTTGTACGTTCTGTTCAATTTCAACAATTTCAGTTTTAGTATTCCACAATTCATCGCCAGATTTCCGTGTACCTAACATCTGTTCTTCAATTATTCCCCTTCTTCCATCAGTAATCTCACAGGTCATGAAAGCAAAGAACACTTGAGTGCAATCTGTGTAGCAATTTACGTTATAGTTTTTTGTTGACATATATATACATCATACCTGTGTTATTGTGTAGAATAGTTGAGTAAAACAAACAATGCTAGTTTGTGGAACAGATTATGGTGGAACAGATTTTCCTTAAAATTTCAATTTGGAAGTAATTCAGAACATCAAAGTAGTAGTCAAATCTGGAAGAGTTTGAATTTATGCTCAGATGTATAATGATCATCTATCAGTAGAGAAGATCACAACCAGGATCCATATTTGATTTCAACGTTTCATCTTGTAGTTAGCTTTCCAATCAACTGCAAAGAGCATTTCAATATTTCATCCTCTAGTTACCTCTCAGGCCAAATGCAAAGAGATCAAACTTCTGGGGAGTTCTCAGATGAAACTTCGTTGACGGTCAACGATCTCAGGATTCAAATGGTTTGTGGCAAATAACATCTTTTATTTATCCGTCTCACCCTGAAATCTGAAGAGAGAGCAGTGGTGGTCATTTGTCATTCAATAATAAGGGGACTTGTAACTTAAGCGATATTGGCTTGAATTTACAAAGGATTGCTTCCTACATAGGCAAGAGGATGAAGCTTCATCACCTCTATCTTGTGCACACTTGTTTTAATTGAAGGAAACCAGGCCTGTGAAAGTGAATTTACTACATAAGCTCTAACTCATTTTCCTATGAAGAAATTGTTTAGCACATGTGAAGAATTGAGGATGACATTCTGAGTAATGCGGTAGAAATTTCTGCTTTCGGTCCTGTAGAGAGCAGCAGAATATCAAATTTTATGTCAATGAATTTTGATGATGAAGCGGTGGGCATCATGGTTCCTCCCAGAATAGTGTTAATTTTTGGACAATCAAGACTCCCATTAACAAATCACAACGGTATTTCAAGTCAAGTGAATGACTTGGAGCAAAGCCTACTCTCAGAAATATCAGTCAGATGCCAAAACCATGTCCTGGTGTGGAATATCAAACAAACAAGGAACACTACCTTTATGTATCAAAACCAGTGTCAAGTTAAACAATTACGTAGTATAATAAAATTCTGTGTATTTGCTTATTATATTCCCTTTAGTTTAGATGTTCATCTCTTTATGAAGGGGCCTGCCAGACTACCATATTTTACAATATTAGTTGTTGTGCTCGAGATACTGACTAGTTTTAGGCCTCTTTTTGGTAGCTGTATTCAGCTTATGTTGCTTATTCTATTATAAGTACAGTAATTAAAATAGGCTCAAGTAGTTCTTTGAGGGGAAAGTTCCCGAAATAGGACTAAAACAGTTTGAAAATTCC